ATATATATATATATATATATATATATATATATATATATATATATATATATATATATATATATATATATATATATAATTGACGTCCTGGTAATTTTACACGACTACTAAATACAGGTTTTGTGCAGCTCAGTGTGTTTCATTTCATTTATTTAATTAATTATAGTAACAATTTGTGAAATATGTAAATAAGGGGAACACTTTACTGTAAATTCCTTGGTTTAGTTTTTGTTATGCTATTTACCCGTTTGTTGTTTTCGAACTGTCTTTTGCTTTCCTTTGTTTATACTTTATGTTGTTCTTGGGTGCACCATCAAAGTGATGAGTGTCACTGATCTGAAAGTGAACCCAATAAATCGTATTGTAAATCGTATCAATCATCCAAGTAGGTTGGTATTTTATTGAAAAGGAAATCACTTCACTAAAGCCCCGCCCACTCCCGACTCCACTTATTTATTTATTGACACTTCACCTTTTGAACGGTGGCACAAACAATTTGTGGAAGTAACACATTACATGGTTTACAAAAGACTAGTTATAAACATACGTTATAAAACACTTTTTATTACGTAATGCTCAGTAGGCCTGTCAAATACAAGAATAAAACATTTGCAATTGATTCAGGTGGAAATTGAACACTACCTCCAGATAACAAAATAGCCTAGTGTCTTAAGGCCGGTTCCCACTGAATTCGATCAAGCGAATTTCGCGTCGAAATGTGGCGCGCGCTGCTGAATCGAAGACGCGACTGGCGTTTCCAATGTGAACATGCAAACGAATTTGTACTCGAACACGCGAACGCCCAATATTTGAACTTCGAAGCGGTGCGCGCGGTACCGGTAGTCGCGGAGGCTAAGCTTTCGCTTAAAGGCCGGTTCCCACTAAACTTGTCAAGCGAAAGCGTCGAGCGTCACGCGGCAAGCGAAGCGAATCGCGCAAAGTTCTCAGGAGTTGACTTTCGGTAAAGAAAATCTCGCTTCCAATGATTCGCTTGACTGTTCCCACTGCTTACCGCGTGCAAAACCTCGAAATGGCGGGTGGCAACAGAGAAGTGATTTTGTTATCGCATTGATAGACGGAGGAAAAGGGCTGTGAGACGAATCAGACTAAAATCCTCAGGATTAACATTCCCAGAACTCTATAATAAATCAAAAGAGTGAATATAAACAGTTTTTTAAGTATATCTATTCAAGGCCTAGAGCTAGGCCTCCTAAGGGTAGATAGTAGGCCTAGCCTAGGCCTCCTAAGGGTAGATAGTACTAGTAGGCCTAGTCTAGCCTACCCTACTGTAGGTCTCATGTATATGTAGCAGGGTATCAGAGGCCTAGGCTGGACAGGCCTAATACTGGTAGAAAGAGGAGATAACTCAACTCGTCTCTGCAAATCCTTTTCCACGCATTGTCACATATTTTCTTTGCTCCCTTGTCACAGACCTAAACAAGGGTACCTACTGTTCCACAGAGTTTGCATGAATGGACTCGTCGGTCATCGTTCGCGCATCTGTACATTGTTTTGACAATGGACGTGACTTTATTGTTGACCTTTGACATAAATTGAATCTAAGCCTTGCGATTGGTCCATCGGCCGCGAATTCGCTCGCGAATCCGAAAAAGTTGGTCTTGGACATAGAGCTATTAAACAACTAGAGTGCTGACAAGATGACGCAGCAATGCAGAGTTATGT